CCAAAGTGACGCAATACCTTGGCCATGAGAAGGAGCCTGCGTTTTATTCTAACTGCTGTAGAAAGGCATGGGAGGGCTTTGTGTTTGTTTTTAAAATTTTTACGGGGGTGTCATTTACATAAAGTGCACAGCTCTGAAGTATAAAGTTTGCCTTTTGACAGATTTGTGGCCATGGGAGTTTTAAGTGGAGTGGAAGGACACCCTCAGCTGAACTCTGACCCCGGTCTCCCCCCGCAACCCCCACTGCAGGCACCTGCTCAGCCAGCTTGTGGGACAGCAGCACCAACCTGCTCTTCCCCCTGGATCGGAGTGTGATGACAGGGTCTCATTCCATGGTTTCTTGAATCGGTGACGTGTCGGTTCAAATTTTTTCCTCACTCTTTGATTGTAGAAGAAATTCTGCAGCGGCCCCGAGTTGATTTCATGGTGCATCTCCCATCTTCAGCTAAGAGCAGCGTGAGGTGTCTTGACAAGAACCAGCCCTTTTCCCCAGTGACCTTCTGAGCCTTCCGAGTTGGTCTTGAGCCCTCTGTCTTGTCAGTCCCTCGGTGTTGCCTGAGCATGTCCCGTGTTCGCTGCCTGCTGTGGTGAGACGGGAGGCCCAGCCGTGCCAGCCGGAGCTGTGCCCTGCCGCTCTGCCCAGGGTGTCCCTGTCACCACTCTTCAATGCTCACCTTTCAGAGCACCAGCATCTGGAGAGTTCTTCCAGTGGCCAACCCTTGGGGCTGATGGAGGCTGACGGACCAGGGAACAGAGAGCACAGCCTGCTATAGCTTCGTTCTGGTCCCACATGGGAAGTGCAGGCCAGAAGGAGATTTGGAACCAGAAGTACAGTGATATAACAACTAATGATCTTGGTTGTATTCAGATGGTGACATTTTAGAAAATTTCACTTTCTCTGGTTTCCAAACTTACCACAATGATTTATAATCTGTAAGAAAAAAGATTTTAGGGAGGCTCTGGATCCACAAATTATAATCAGATGAGTGCTTTCTTGCTGTCTGCAGCTGGGCTTTGCACCTGAGGATGCACTGTTCCTCTAACAGTAGCACCTCTACTCCTTCTTGCTGTGCTGTGCACAGTACTTGCTAAGTATAAAGCACAGTTTTAAATACTCTATGAATATATTGTCTTGCTAATGCTGCGGTGAGACGGGTGCTGTAATTTCTTCCACTTTATAGAGAGGCAGATAGAGGACCAGAAAGGTTAACAACATTCCCTGGCCCCACGTAAGTTGCTGACGTGAGGTTTTGAGCCCAGAGCTTTGCACACTGAGTGCTAAGGTGTCACCTCCTCTGGCCTGTGGCGAAGCCCAGTGTGCTCTGCTCCATTTGTTCAGTCAGTGCCTGCTTCCTTCTAAAAGGTGCTGAACTGAGTGCGGAGGGTGTAAACACGAATAAGTTGAGGAGGCGTGTGCCTCCTTAACTAATTGTCTGGCGGGAGAGACAGATCCTTAGTATTGCACGTGAAGTGTTAATCCAGGGGTGTGCATAGGAGACCTTGAGGAGCCAGAGGGAGGCAGGAGGCTTAGCCCCGTTGCAAAGGAGGCATGTCTTAGAGTTGTCTGAACTTAATCTAACAGTTTTCCAGGAGAAGAAATGTGGAGGCCCTCCCAAGCCAAAGGGACAATGTGAGTGACAACTAAGTTGGGAGATGCCAGGCCACGGGTACCTTGTTTGCCAACTTGAAAAGTCAAACTTGTGTTCCCTGAGGGATGGGAGGTGGGGTAGACTCTGGAAGCTTCTAAGCAAGGCGTGGCATCTCAGCTCACTCCAGCTGCTGTGTGGAGGTGTTTAAGGGAAGAGAACCAGAGTCGTGAGGACATGTTGCGGGGAGGAGGTGGGCCCTGACCTCAGGGAGCCTCCTGGGCTCTCTCTGCCCTTGCGGTCCAGCCCTACAAGAACCAGCGTTGTCTTGGATTAGGCTTCCTCAGGTTGGCTGGTGGGGGTGGGGTGGGGGGAGGATGTGGGTGCTGGAATCAGGTAGATGTAGATGCATATGTTGGTTGTACCACTTTGGGCCTTTGGCAGATCCTCTGACCTTATGTGTAAAACAAGGATGATACCTTTCACGGTTGCTGTGAAGATGAGAAGTAATGATGTAAAATCCTGGATTGAATGCCTGACGAAGCGTGGTGGTGAGGCAGTCACACCACTCACCTGCTACAGCTGCTTTTGTCCCAACATTGACCCTATGACGTAGACAGCTTAGACCCGGAAGGGTTAAGTGACTGGCTTAAAATAATAAAACTTTTGATAAAGCAGGGACTAGATTTCAAACTACCCCCAGCTGGACTGCCTTTAGTCCCTTGTCGTAAGAATCACGTGGCTCTTCACTTCTTGAAAAGCAGCCCAGTCTGGGTATACAGCTGTCCTAGGCTAGAACTTGGTCACACAGCCGCACCCAGCTGCAGGGGAGGCTGAGGACACAGTCTGCAAGCTACCGAAGGGGCTTCCTTAGTGAGAAAGAGAGGGGTCGGTGGGTTTGGGGGGCAACCAGCAGGCTACCTCAGTGTCTTCCTGGAACTTTCTCCCTGCTCTGAAGACACTGAGTACCTCTGGGGTTTTCACACCACTAGGGAGCATTAAGGAGGCTTGGATATTGGGATGATCATTTATAATTTAGGGAAAGTGCAGAAACACTTCTGGGTTCTTCCTAGATTGCTGCTTCCATTGGGGAGGGTGGATTTACTCACCCCCAGGAGTTTCTGTCCTTTGGGATTGGGGTCCTTGGGAACACAGAGCCAGCAAGCTGTGGTTTGAGGTCACTGGCCCAGCCAGTACCAGTTACAGAAAGAGGCCTGTCTCAGGTGGCTCGGATTTCACCCCAGCTCCACTACTAAGTACCTGGTGCTCCTGGACAAATCAGCTCTTCCCTCCCACTTTCCTCACCCTTTACACCGAGGAGGTTGGCCCCTCAAGGACCCTTCCGGCTCTGACTCAGATTCCATACTGCCTAGTTTATGAACTGATCCCCAGCTGGCACGGGTGGGGGCTGCTTGCCATTTGCCCTGGTAAACAGTCTGTTACCCTCGACAGGAAGCCTCTGTTGCGTGAGCCACTGAACCGTGGCAGCTTGAGAAATGAGGCCATCAGAGTGTCGTCCTGGTCAGCAGCCTGTCACTGGGCAGAAGGCTCTAAAACTCTGGGGTTTTTTCCGGCTGCAGGTCATTGGAAGGAGAGGGTTTGCCCCCAGGGATGAACAAGAAAGCATGAGCTCATAGTCTCTGGAGCCTCCCCCACCCCAGGGGGTGGAAACCTGCTCACATCCCGAAGCCCGAGATCTCACACAGGGACTGGTGAAGAGCCTGTAACTCATTTCCGTAGCCTGTGACGTGGCACCATCCAGGGTGTCTTCTGTTGTATCACTTTGTGAAATGCCAGATGCTAAAGTGGCTGCTGTGTAGTCTGTGATCACCTTCTAGCTTCAAGATTACACTGTAGTAGTAAGAATGTGAATGTCCCACACGTTTTATATTGTAAGTGAATTGCTTTGGTGGATTTTCACGGCAAAGAGCAGCTCTCTGCCAAGTAGCCTGCCGGGTTCACAGGCCCCTCCCTGTACTGTATCCGCAGCAGGGGTGATTTTACACCCTCCTCATGCTGGTTTGGGAAGTGCCGTCAGATCAAGAGGGGCTCAAGGGACTGCTACCTCCTAGTAATCACATCTTCTGAAGCTCAGTGTACCCCGTTGTCATTCAGTTGAGCCCTGCTTTCTCTTCACCAGACAGTCAGGAGCCTCTTACTGCCCCTTACACGCGTCTAACTCTAATTCTCTCAGGGTGCGCCCGGCACGGACATGGCTCTCTTAAATTGTGTGGTTTAATTTCTAAACAGTTGTGCTTTTTATGAGTCGGTTTCTAAGTAGGACTGCAGCTGCTTTGAGGAAATTATTTCCCTTCCAGTTCCTGTGATTTGACTTGCAGTGCGACCTCTTAGGTCTTCTTCCTTGTGATATAAAAGGAAACACACCTGTATAAAATCCCATCTCTCTTCCTCCACTCAGCAAGTCCCTGGGGCATCAACTGGCGAGGCTCCGAGGAGGACAGGGAAGTGGATTGCCAGGTACCTGCCCTCTAGGTGCTGACTCAGAGAGGTGTGTGCAAAACCAAGTGACGAGGTTGCCGGTGTGAAACAGGTAGAATCTGATCACCCATACTGCCTTCCTGTTGTGTGGCACCAAAAACACAAAACTTCTGGAAGAGTGAGCACTAGGCCCTGGTACCCTCAGGGGAGGGTGTGAGCCGAGGCCCAGGACAGGTGGGCAGAGAGGAGGGCAGGTGGGAGTCTTGCCAACCTCACTTGAGCTGCTTCCTGGGCGCCCACGTGCCTTGATGAGCGCACTCTACAGCCATGCTGAGGCTGCCTTTCAGTGATCACATTGTCAAAGCAAAAAGTTTCATTAAGGGCTTCCCTGGTGGCGCAGTGGTTGAGAGTCTGCCTGCCGATGCAGGGAACACAGGTTCGTGCCCCAGTCCGGGAAGATCTCACATGCCGCGGAGCGGCTAGGCCCGTGAGCCACAACTACTGAGCCTGCACTCTACAGCCCGCGTGCCACAGCTACTGAGCCTACGTGCCGCAACTACTGAAGCCCAGGTGCCTAGAGCCCGTGCTCTGCAACAGGAGAAGCCACCACAATGAGAAGCCTGTGCACCGCAATGAAGAGTAGCCCCTGCTCACTGCAACTGCAGAAAGCTCTTGCACAGCAACCAAGACCCAACACAGCCAAAAATAAATAAATTAATTTAATTTAATTTAAAAAGAAAAAGAAAAGGAAAGGGAATTCCCTGGTGGTCTAGTGGTTAGGGCTCTGTGCTTTCACTGCCGAGGGCCCGGGGTTCAGTCCCTGGTCAGGGAGATTCCGTAAGCAATCCGGTTGCGGCCAAGAAAACAAAAACAAAAAGTAAAAGTAAAAAAAATTGCCTGATTAGTTTTTTAGGGATGCCATAACAAATAATCGCAAACTTCTTGGCTTAACAAAACAAATTTATTCTCTTACAGTCCTGGAAGCGCGAAGTCCAGAATCCAGGTGTCAGCGGGGCCATACCCCCTCCACTGGCTCTAGGGGGAGAATCCTTGCCTCTTCTACTTCTGGTGGCTTCAGAGGTTCCTAGGCTCCTGTCTTCACAAGGCCGCCTTCTTCTCCGCTCTTCTCTCTCATGAGGGTACTTGTAATTCGATTTAGGGACCCCCCACACCTCCCGTTAATTGAGGATTATCTCTTCTCAAGACCTTTAACTCAATTACATCTGCAAAGACCCTTTTTCCAAGTAAGGTCACATTCACAGGCATTGAGGGTGAAGATTTGGACATACCTTTTTGAGGACCACTCTTCAGTTGCCAGCCACATTTGGAGTGGGGGGAACTCAGCTATATGTTGCTCACAGTAGACCCACGTTAAATATAAAGTTGAAAGAAAGGAGATTGAAAAAGATGTACCCTACAAGTTCTGACCAAAAGAATGTACTCTCTGGATTTTATACACTTTACCTCTTCCAAAAGATGTATTTTAATTCAAAAATGAGTAAGATTGGAAAAGAAGGGAGCTGTGTTTCAGGCAAGTTAAATGATGTGCAGTGTAATTACACTGAAAGTTCCTTGAGGGCAGGGACTATGTTTGTGTTATGCGTTTTAGTATCCCCAGCACAGAGTACCTGCTGGCTGTGGGTGGGATGGGGAGGGGAATGGGTGGGCAGGTGGGTGGGTAAGGTGACTGGGAAGCCTGGGAAGAGGCAGTCTCACTGGCATGGGAAAGCAGTCATGAGGACCTGGACTAGTTCAGTGGTAGAAACGGGGAAAGGGACACATCCAAATGACTCCTCAATTGCAGAGTTGGTGGGAGAGATTGACAGAGTCAGGGGAGGAGACTGTGGAGGCCCCAGAGGTGAGGAGACTTCCATTCTATGCAGAAACGGGGAAGCCAGGCAGGACTGGCAGGGTGGGCAGGAGACACGACTCTGCGGGACCAGGCTGTACTTGGAGGGTCACTGGGGGCCAGGGCTGGGGGAGGAGGCTGATGAACCCTTGGCATAGAAACCCTGAGAGGGGGGGCTTCTCCCCAAGGGTCAAGCAGAGGAAGGAGAGCCTGTGGAGGGAGGAGAGAGCCATTGGGAGGTAGAAAGGAGCCACAGAGGAACACTCAGAACATTGGGGGGATTCCTAGAACCCTTCTAGAACCCTGAGCTGCCTGCAGGCGCAAGAAGGAGGCTGGTGTGGAGAGGTCAGGTTGTGGCTGGCAGACCCTAGGTCACACGCTTCTCAGACACCAGGACCAGGATGGGGTGGCTGGGCCCCAGGTCTGGGAAGAGTGGACACAGAGGGGAGGAGAGGGAAGACGGTCCACGACAGGGCCTGCAGGGTGTGGTTTGCTTTCCTGAGCACATGTTCTGTGCCAGCTGCTTCCACCTGTTTTCTCTTGCTTAATTTTGAGGTCAACCTGCTAGATCATAGAGGCCCCCCTCCTTTTTTTCTTTTTACATAAAGTCACATAGTAGCAGAGGACTCACAGCGCGTCTCTCTGGCTATTGGCCGCTACTGCTTTTCTGGCGATGGGGCCCCACACCTGTCTCTGGGACGTGTGTGCGTGAAGGCAGACAGCCTTCTGGGAGCCCCCCGAGGGCTGCGCGCCCCAACGGCCCCCTTGTCTGTCCCCCACTCTCAACACCCCCCCACCCCCCCTTCTTTGTCTCATGAGGGCCTCTCTTGGGCGCTGCTCCGTCAACCTTGGGTTCCAGCTCCAGTGTCGCGGAGTGTCAGGGGCCTGACCTACCTTTGAGGTGTGCCTGCTTCCCCTCCACTAGCCCTCCGGCCTCAGGGGACGTTGGTGGATACGTTAGAAAGGATGGATTGCCCTTTGCTTTGCCCTCTTGCACCGTCTGAGTTCTCTCCATCCTGTGGAAGCACCAGGAATTGAGAAAAGATCGGTTGTCCGAGGGCTGAGTCTGAATCACTCTCTGGAGCTTCTGAGGGAGCAGCTGCCACAGCGCCGTGGGGAACAGGCCTGTTTGGGAACGGTTACCTGGCTCGTCGTCCATCAGGGACCCGGAGGCAGCTCCTCATCTCTTACCTGCAGAGAAGTCTTGTGTCCCCTCAGTTTCCCACCTTTCACCACCACCAAACCAGAACCAGAAGTGCAGTGGAACAGTGTAAGTTCCCAGCTCTGGAGTTGTCCTGGACTGTTCTCTTCCTCTCACACCCCCCCATCCACCCTGTCGGCAAGTCCTGTCGGCTTAGTGTTGAAGATACAGCCAGGATCCCACCTCCTGTCGTCCTCTCCTGCTGCTAGCTGGCTAAGCCACCGCGGCCTCGCCGTGGGCTCTCATACTGGTCTCCCTGAAGGCCGCTCAGCACAGCAGCAGGGGTGAGCCTATTCGACTATAGGTCACAGCGTCCTGCCCTGCAGCTGCCCCCTCGTCACTGCAGGCAAAGGGGAGCCTTTGCTCCCTGGGCCACAGGCCTGGGAGGCCTAACTTCATGTCCCGTACTCCCGCCTATCCCTGGCCTCTGCCTGACGGCTATTCCGCAGACACGGGTGATTCTCACTGACTGATGCTCACCTTCCGGGCCTCCTCATCTGTCCCTGCAAACCCACTTCCCAGGCCCCTTCACTCCTTTCCTGCTTTCCTATCCCTTGTTGCTGCCTGACATGCTCTGTGTTTACTCCTCTCTCCCCCCTTGAAAGTAAGGAAGGTGGGGGGTTTTGTCTATTTCGTCGCCTGCTGAACTGGCCCCATAGCACAGCAGGCCCCTCCATAACACATGGCTGGGTGAACGGGATCTTCTGTTCTTTTCCAAATTAGATCTAGAGTAGCTCTCTTAATGCTTCTTCTTCCTTTAATTTAAAAAAAAAAAGATTTTAGACTCATATATTCTAGGGAAAGGGGGTAGGACATGGAGAGGGAGAAGGCAGGAGCCACACGTCTGCTCTTCAGAAGAATCTGAATCCACTCTTGAGTCCCGTGTAGGGCGCTCCCGCACACGGACAGCCTGCACACACCCTTCCTCTCCCTTTCTTGAACCAGAGCCCAGCTGTGAGTCACATCACTTCTCCCATGTCCCACTTTGCTGCATTAATACAAGTCTCTGACACAGGCTTGTCTTTTTTTTTTTTTGAAATAAAAACAATATGAACATGGAAGAATGTTTAAACCATTCAGAATGATATAAAAAGTCTATGGGTCCCCTGACCCATAATTCCTTTCATCAAAGGAAGCCTTTGTTAACAGTCACTTACATATCCTAGGGAAAAAACCCCTGCGTAACACCAGCAGAAATATGTATTCTTTAAAAATGGGTCTGAACAGAATCATGGTAGGCATATTATTCTGCAGTTTGTTAATACAATTTGGAAGTCTTTCCATATTAATCCATGCAGATCTACCTTGTTTCTAGTAACTGCATGGTGTTGCCTCGTACCGTGATGTATATACCCGACCCCACACTGATGGCTTCTTCCTGGGTTTTTGTTATGACAGTGAAGACCTATATACATCTTGGCGTGTGCTGCAGTAAGACCTGTGCAACACGTACCTGTCAGTGCACTGCAGGTTAAGGGGTGTGGGTATTAACAGTTTTGATCGATATTGCCAGATGAATGCTTGGACTGGTTCATTCTTCTAGAGTGTGTTTTCTTCCCAGCTTTTTATTTCAAAAAATGTTAGACCTAAAAAAAAAGTCTAAATAAATTTAATGAATACACAAATGTCCTTCATCTAGGTTTATCAGTTACTGTGTTGCCACATGTATTGGTGTGCTAAGGCTGCCATAACAAAGTATAGAATGGGTGTATTAAACAACAGAAATTTATTTCCTCACGGTTCTGGAGTCTGCAAGTCCCAGGTCAAGGCGTCAGCAGGTTTGGTTTCTCCTGAGGCCTCTCTCCTTGGCTTGCAGGTGGCTGTCTTCTCACTGTGTCCTCACATGGTCACCCCTCAGTCTGTGTGTGTGTCCTAATCTCCTTATAAGGACACCAGCCATGGTGGATTAGGGCCCACCCATGGACCTTGTTTTACTTTTATTACCTCTTTTAAGACCCTGTCTGCAAGTAATCACATTCTGCGGTCCTGGGGGTAGGACTTCTTCATGTGAATTAGGGGGGTGGGAGGAGGAATACAATTTGGCGCATAACACCATATTTGCTTCTCTTTACTTATTGTATATTATATTAATATAATTATAAATATTATATAATTACTTCATATTTATTTATAATTATAGTGTAATTATTTATAATTACAAGTTATACCATTTATAATATATTTATTATATATAATTATCATAAATAATGTATAATTTTCCCCCTAAACCACTTGAAAGTAAATTGTACCCATTCTGGTACTTTAGCATGTATCTCCTAAGAATGAGGACATTCTTCCTGGGTTATGTTTTGATGTCCTTTATTTTATGCTGATGGGGACAGACTCCCCTGAGGAGAAGAACACATGAGCAGGAGGCGCTCTGGCCCTGCCTGTGGGCTTTCCCTCCAGATGGCTTGTCCTGGCCCAGCTCCCTCCGCATCTCCTTCCTGAGCCCCCAGCCCCTCAGCCCAGAGGATGCTTGCAGAACCTCTGGGCCTCCCTCAGCTCCTCCCTCAAGACTCTTCGGCCTTGTTGATGTTTTGGATCTGTCATGTGTCAACGGGATGAGAGCCCTCCTCACAATTTCACCTGCTTTTTGGTCTCTCTATCAAGATGTCTCTAAACACCAGACATTTCATTTCTGTGCATAGACAGTCCTTGCTTTGCAACCCAGGGGCTGCCTGTATTTATTTAGAGAAGTAGGGCTTATTGATTGGCCACCCGTTTCTCTCTCCCTGCCTTCCTCTTCCTGCATCCTCATTGCAGCTTGGGGCTCTGCCAGAAGTCTGTTCTTGCCTGCTACCATCGTGTCTGTTTCTTCCTCGGTACTTCTGTGTGGGAGAACATCACACATGCGGCACTTGCATTGTTTGTTTTAGTAGATAGAGTCGTTGTAGAAATAAGTCTGCCTAGGGCTTCAGTGGAGGACAAGACACTTAGAACTTTTTTGTTTCCTTCAGTGTAAACGGTTATGTCTCAGACCCACCTGAGGTGAAGATGTCAGTCTGGGGAGCCCTTTGCCATTCGACGTGGTCAGGCTGTTGCTGAATGAGCGTCCCGCCTCCACTGTCCTGTGCTGGGAGTGCCACTGCCCGGTGCTGGGACACAATCAGCATCCTTGCTCAGTCCTCTCCACCTCCAGAAACCCACCATCTACACAATTCAGAGCTGCTTTTCCGCCATTTCCACCGTGTCTTTGCCTCTGCTTAGGTCTCTTCCCTGGCTTTTCCTTCCCAGCAGGATTCATTCCAGGCTCCTTGGCCTGGCACTCAGGACGCTGCTCAACCTGTCTCCCTTGTTACCTGCTATATTAAAGCCAAATCAAATTATGCCACACACACTCTGTCACGTCATGTCCCTGTGCCTGTCAGCTCATGGTGTGTGCTCTGTCCAGAACGGCTGTTCTCTCCCCTCCCTGGTCCGTTTGCTAGCCTCGTCCCCGGTCCCCAGGACTGGGCTTGGCCACCTTCCTGACTGGTGCCTTTCCTCCAGGCAGGCAGGCGGGCTCCTGCCTTCACTCTGCCTCAGACTTACCTGTTCTCAAGCGCTCGCCACCCTTGCGGGTACGTGTCTGCCCTCCCCTGCAGCTGCCTCTGCCTTTGTCTCCACAGCGCCTGGCTTGGAGCCGGCACTCTGTGAACGTTTGGGTGGGTGGGCGGATGGATGGGTTGTCGTTGGACCCTGAACTTAGAAGTAGCTACATTCCCCTTTGCGGTTTCCAGCCCCTGTCTGAGCGACCCTTGTCACAAAGAAGAAAATACAATTTTCCACATGCTGTGAGGAGCCACTCTTCTTAAGTAGCCCGTTCGGAAGAGTCCACTGGTCAGTAGCAACAGGGCCTCTGAGACCTTCATGGCTTCTTGCACATCATCCCATGTTAAAGAGCAAGTACCCTGACTCAGTGGTTTTAAACACCGAGTGTGCCGAGAACCCCCAGCTTGTTAAATGCACTTTGCTTCCTTATCACTGTAGAAAGGTACTGAATATCTATCTTTTCTTTCAGTCAAACGCTTCAGAGAACCAAAGCATGAAAGACGTCCTTGGAGGATATGGTGCGTATTTAAATATTAACTCATTCCTAGAATGCTTTTGACTATTTGGGGGGGTTTTTTTGGGAGGGGCATGGAATGTGAGCAATTATACATAACATAAAGTGTTGAAATCCATTAGTCCAGTTAATCATCAGGAACTGTGTATAATATGAAAGCACTTCTGTTTCTCCAGATAACTGTTGAGCCCACTATAGGGCTAGTGACAGCCATATGGTGGCGATTCTGTCATAACTGCTGTCTAGTTTTGGGAGGTGGAAGATGATACAGATGTATCAGTCCATGCTGCAGGCTTTGTTAGTTATGTCTGCCTGTTGTTGGACTATGTTAAATCTTTGGACTCTCTATGCATAAGCAAAAAAATCATCTAAATTTGGAGATAAGTCAAATGTACCATGTAGATGCCCCTCTCCCCAAAACTAGTCTTTCTTAGTCCCAGGATGACCTTGTGGCAACAGTTTTTCCTTCATAGAAATGGTGGTTAAAGCTTCAGACATAGCTTCCAAAGACAAAACTCCAAAAAAATAAATCACTTAGAAGGAGACAGCCAGCTCCTCGGGACAACATAATGCCCTCAAGAAGCCATCTTTCTTGCACCTGTCCTAACAATAGCTACTTTCCCTCCAGAGGAAACTTCCGATAAATCTCTGTGATAAAGGCCCCTTAATAAAATTATAAGCATATTCTTGATTGATCTTCAGTGCATTATTTCTCAATGTTGATAATTCGTTTTTATTTTCCACCAGTCGGTTTCTCTCAAGTCTGGGTATCTAGCTTAGGTGGGGGGCCTGGGGGAATGTGGAGTTGGGTTTTACACACAATCCCCTTTGGTAGCTCCTACTTTGCCGTGATTTTAGGAAATGATTTTCAGGCCTCAGTTGCAGGGTTGGTCTGGATAATCTCTAAGGTCTGTTCCAGCCCTGAGACCCATGCCTGTGTGCCCCCTTTATCACTCCTGTCAGTGGCCTGGCCCAATTCTGAATGCCCAGCCTGGGAGGCCAAGAGAGGTGACCACAATCCAAAGGTTCCTCGACCGCAAACTGTGAGTGGTCCCCAGGTGTTCATGGCCGAGGAGAAACTGAGGGCCCACGTTATCTCCACAGTGCTCCTGCCACCTGTCCCAGCGACTACCAACTTTGTTTTTTCTTTTCTGAAACTCCTGTCCTCTAGTCCAAGGGCTGGCAAGCTGTAGCCCACAGGCCCAATCTGACTGCTGTCTGTCTCCATAAATAAAGTGTCAGTGGGCTGCTAGTGACTGTCCGCTCTTACAGTGCAGCAGCAGAGTGCGTAGTTGCTGCAGAGGACGATGGCCCGCAGCCTAAAATATCTACTCTCAGACCCTTTACTGAAAAGTTTGTCTGCCCCAAACGAGCCCGTTGTTTAAGCGGCAGCAGCTGAAGGTTGTTTAGGGTTCCAGAGGCAGTGCTGGATGAGTGCAAGTCTCGTTAAGCTTGCACATCATTCAGCTTGTGTGTGAAGTCGGTTGGGAGCTCTTTAAAGTAGAGGCACCTCAGACCCCATCCAAAGCTGTGTTCAAGCATTTTGTTTTGAAGTAACAAAAATGAAAAAGTGAGGGCTTCCCTGGTGGCACAGTGGTTGAGAGTCCACCTGCCGATGCAGCGGACACGGGTTCGTGCCCCGGTCCGGGAAGATCCCACATGCCGCGGAGCGGCTGGGCGTGTGAGCCGTGGCCGCTGAGCCTGTGCATCCGGAGCCTGTGCTCCACAACGGGAGAGGCCACAACAGTGAGAGGCCCACGTACCGCAAAAAAAAGAAAAAACAAGAAAAAGAAAAAGTGAAAACACACATTTTAAACGTGTTTCGTGTGTTTAAATCTGTGTTATTAATCAGTGGCCTTTCAGGGATGCAGTGTTACGGTTTTGAAAGGGGGCTGAAACGCCAAGCCTGAGTTAGTCCCAACGTCCCAGGAAGAGGTGACTCGTAACTGGAAGTTTGGGGTCTCCCCAGTGGCTTTTTTTTTTTTTTCCATGTTTCAGACTTATCATTTTCCCCAAATTGGTTATTACCCTCCCGTCAGAGTGATAATAAGTGCTGATTCTATTTTGTACAGGTTTTTAGACACTTCCAAACAAGCCATAGGAATGCTGTTCATCCACTTTGCAAATGTATACCTAGCAGATCTCACTGAAGAGGACCCTTGTTCACTGTAAGTGGCCCATAGTTGAGTGCAAACATCACCTGCCCCTCCATGCCTTGCTTTCTGCTGCCAGTCATGTTCCCTCTAGCTTGGGGAGGGGGCAACTCCCCTTCATCTCTGTGCTCATCTGAGAGATTGTTGTGTGCATGCTGGGTGTTAAGGTTTTGCCCAGTGACAGTTGCCCTGTGCTCTGGCTTTCTGCTAATCAACCTAAGTTCTGTCCCTTGGCCTTCTAGTGCCTTTATGTCTCCCAGTTTCCAAGCAGTCCCTGGCAAAGCAACATAATGCCCCAAAGGAGTGTCTGTGCTGGAGCAGTACACATAGGGGCTTCTCTGTGGTGTCAGCCATTCAGGGTCAAAGCCATTGTTGACCATTTATTGACCAACATTGACCTCTTTGACCTGAAGACCATGGGTGGTTCCGCCTTGTCAGTGCAGTCAGTGTGCCTTCCACACAGCCCCCAAAGCTGTCTGCCTAAAACCCCAGTTGGGCCATGATACCTGTCCTCCTTGCGGACAGCACCCGAACAGTGCCACTCTTAGCAGATGGAGTAGAAGAGGATGCTCCCCTTCCCTATCCTGGCTCCATCTGCTGCCTTCCTCGCTCAAACTTAGTGCCCCAGCCATGCTGGGCTGCTCCTGGTGGCCCTCAACTCCACCAGCTGTCTCCTGCTTCTCTGCCTTTGCTCGCACTGCTCTCTGCCTGGAATGCCCCCTAGCCCTGCTGTGCCTCTGAGGGAGAGTGGGGTGGAGGGCTGGTGAGTCCCTTGCCAAGAGGTTCAGTGTATATTTAAGACCATTTGAACTGGAAGATTCCTTTAAGCTTCTCTTGTTCGGTGACAGTGTGTAATTTTGAGATTTAGTTCAGGTCCCGATTCAGAAGGAGGTTGTAAAGTCTTCCCTCCCCAGGGTTTTTTACCTTAAGACCTGGATAGGTTGTAATCTGTTAGGGTGTAGTCCCACAGCATGGGGCCGGAAGGGCGATCCTCCCATAGGGCAGTTGATTAGGAAAGGGCCTTGTTCTTCTAACCCTTGAGCCCAGCGGCAAGCTTGTGTCATCCTCTGGTGGATTTTCTTGGTTGGCCAGGATATGCTGAGAGCCAGCTGCTCACCCTGGAGGCACTGGGGTGAGGAACCCTGTCTCCTGGTGCCGCCTTGGTCACTGGTGGACTTTGACAAACTGAATCACAGCTGGGATGGAGAGGGGACTGCTGACAGATCTGGAGTGCTTAGCCAAAGGAGAAAAGGCCCAAAATGGAGTTAGGTGTGGTGAAAAGAGCCCTTGAATGGGAGGCCAATCAGCGGAAAGGCAGCTCAACTTCCCCGAGCCTCTGTTTCCTCATCCAGATCCCCAGGATCACCATGAAGGTTTCATGAGATGATGAGTACATGCAACGTTGGAAGTCATAGAGGCACTTGCCAATGAAGATGTTAATAGCTCAATCAGAGGATATTGTCGTTAAAACATAGGAAAGACAGGTGAGCTCCAGCAGTCGGTTGAAGAGCTGTTGGAGGGAGACTAGGCAGGCAGAGCAGGCCTTGCCCCACAGAGTGGAGAGGTCCTGGCCTGTGGAAGAGCAAGTGCTGCAGCAGGATTCATTGCAGCCCCATCATCCGTGAATAGCCCTGTGACTTTTTACAAGTGGGGGAAGGGTTGGGCTGGACCTGGGGCGTCTTGGTACTCTACAGACCTAGAAGGGAAGCCAGTCAATTCAGGGAGAGGAGAAGTGTACAAACAGAGGAGGGTGAACAACTTCCTGTGGCTGCAGGGGTGCCCCGTGCTGGGGATACTGCTCTGGGTGGCAGTTTGGCTTCTGTGACATCCGAGGGGCTATGATTCTAACAGCACACTTGTGTAGCACTTAATACGTGGCAGGCACTGTTCACGTATGTTGACTCGTTTGATCC